TCTCGTGGGCGGCCTATTTATGTTGCCACCTATTTCTTCATACTTCATACCGTTAACCCAAATAATGCCAGGTCATTTATTTTCGTGTTGATTTTATACAAATAATATTCAGGTGATCGGTACACTTCAACCGTACATGCACTCATCTACAAATGGGTGCAATTAACATCTTCTTTCCATTCCTCTTTTTATACGCAATTTACACTTCATTTATATGTTGCAGGCTTCTTGGCTGTGGGACAAAGTCAGACGGTAGACTAAGACATCACATCACTGGTCTTAACAAGTCAGAGAAGTCTCTCAGGGTGATTGCCTTGCATGTAAGTTACATACTAAGTATCATCTGGGTACACTTCAACCGTACATGCACTCATCTACAAATGGGTGCAATTAACATCTTCTTTCCATTCCTCTTTTTATACGCAATTTACACTTCATTTATATGTTGCAGGCTTCTTGGCTTTTGGACAAAGTCAGACGGTAGACTAAGACATCACATCACTGGTCTTAACAAGTCAGAGAAGTCTCTCAGGGTGATTGCCTTGCATGTAAGTTACATACTAAGAGTCATCTGGAGTTGGATCCCTCAAGTGTGGTGAATTGCTTGTATCAGACAGTAAAGGGAAAGCAACTGCACTGAACGACCAATTCCAATCAGTTTTCACACTGGAGGAATACTCGAACATTCCAGATCGTAGACAACCCGTGTTTCCTTCAATGGATCGCATTGAAATCTCTGTGGAAGGCATTGTCAAGCTACTGAAAGCTATAAATGTAAGCAAAGCCACAGGACCAGATGGCATACCAGGAAGGATCTTGAAGTTCTTTGCTGAAGACATTGCACCGATCCTGACCTTTATCTTTCAACAATCTCTAGATACAGGAACAGTACCATCTGACTGGCGTCTTGCAAACATCTCACCAATTTTCAAGAAAGGAGACAGGAGCAAGGCCTCCAACTACCGCCCTGTATCAATCACGTCCATCTGCAGTAAACTGCTTGAACATGTCATTTTCAGCAATATCATGGATCACTATGACGAAAATAATATTCTCAATGATGTTCAGCATGGCTTTCGTCCTGGCCATTTATGTGAGACCCAGTTGATCATTACATCTCAAGATGTTGCACACTCTCTAGACCAGAAAGAGCAAGTTGATGCAGTTGCATTAGACTTCTCCAAAGCCTTTGACCGTGTACCCCATAACCGCCTCCTCCATAAGCTTCATCACTATGGGATCCATGACAACCTTATCAGATGGATCAGGGTGTTCCTAACTAAAAGGTTACAACGTGTTGTTGTAGATGGAGAGTCATCTGAATGTGTTACAGTCACCTCTGGGGTACCGCAGGGCACAGTTCTCGGCCCACTTCTGTTTATATCCTTCATCAATGACATAGTAGATGGGATCTCTTCCAAAATCCGACTCTTTGCTGATGATTGTCTTCTATACCGTCCGATCACTGATGTCACTGATAGCCAAGCCCTACAACAAGATCTCAACAGGTTGCATTCATGGGCTAACACATGGCAGATGAAATTCAACACCGAGAAATGCTACCACATCACATTCTCCCTACGTCGGAAAGCCATCACCACGACATACACGCTAGGAGACACTCCTCTTGCGTTGGTAACAGATCTCCGGTATCTAGGACTGATTTTCTCATCCAACTTGTCCTGGCAAGGCCACATGAACAACATCACATCCCGAGCCAATCGGATGCTGGGACTAGTCAGCAGAAATCTCCGCAAAACCTCACAAAAGATCCGCCAACAAGCCTACTTCTCTCTTGTTAGACCTCATCTGGAATACTGTTGCTCGGTCTGGAACCCTCACACAAACAAGCATATATCCAAAATCGAGGCAGTACAAAGGCGAGCAGTAAGATTCACCCTCCAGAGATATCGTCGTATGGCCAGTGTCTCGGCCATGATTCAAGATCTGAAATGGGAGAGCCTGGAGAGGAGAAGAAATGGTGCAAGCCTCCACCTCATGTACAAGATCCAAAACGACACAGTAGCCATCAATGCACACCATTACACAGCCCCCATGATTGCCAGCAACACACGACAGTATCACTCAAAGAAGTTGCTGACTATCCCATCCAGAACCCAGAACTCATTTTTCCCTCGGACAGTAACTGCGTGGAATGCACTTTCAAAGATCACCCTTGACGCTACTTCACTGGAGGGCTTCAAGGGAGCGCTTCCACCAAGCATCTAGACCAAGAACTAGATAGTTTATTCCTCAGCACTACATCCTGACTTATGGATCCTGCTGAGTATCGTCGTAGAAGTAGAAGTAGAAGTATATCGATTGCTACATGAATACAAGGGTTCTAGGACAATTACCCCCTGGACAATCACCCACCTCCCTCCCCCTGGCAAATTCCCAACTGGACAATTACCCCACCCTGAAAATAACCCCCTTGGACAATCACATATCATTAGACAGTGTAACATAAATGTATTTAAATGGATATCATGTGTATAGCGTGTTTGTAAAAATATATTGGCATCCTGTTTATTGTTATATTTTATACAACACCTACGTGGATCCTTGTCATTTGATTGGACGATTGTTGGTCACATGATATTCAATAGATGGTATATTGCACGGTCGTGCATTTTTGGTTATATGCAGACTGCGTACCTCTCTGCTGCATGTGCGCGTATCCCTGCGTGTATCTGACGCGAAGGCAATCTGCATGTAATCGTGAAGGCTTGACTCGAACTTTAATTTATTTTTATAAGGAGTAAAGCATAATTTGTTGATTAACGTTCTATTAGGTCTTCTTCGATGTTGTATAAAAAAAATAATGAATGTTTTTCATTCGTTTAATAGTGCAAATATCTTCATTCGTTGAAAGATTAACGTTAATTCTATTCAACTCGACTGACGCCTCGTTGAATAGAATGTTAATCTTGCAACTCATGAACATATTCGCACTATTGAACCCATAACCATTCATTATTTGTATAATATTGGATGTAGGTGCTGCATGTACATGTTAACTACAAGATTATAAGATTATGCTTCCGATGACCCTACATTTACAAAAGCTTGAAAATAAAATTGAAATTAACATTAACACAAACCGTGAATGACCGGTATGTTTGGAGCCATTCACCAACCCACCGGTCCGTCATATCATGCAATTAAAGAGACAGGTTGACGGTCCAAATGAAAATCAGCCATTCGCAGATCAGATTCACATGTATGCAAAACAAAGAGATTGATTTATTGGCCATATATATGTATATTATCTGTACCGTTTTATTTTAAGCAGGCTTACCTCTAATACAAACTGCTATCCCTGAGCGCCCTACACAATAAAAACAACGTATATACAATATCTATGGACTTGATAAGTACATATTGAACTCATAATTGCATAACAAACAAAGATAAGGAAAACAAAGGTTAATAACATAAGAAAGACATAAAATTAATATAAATTTGTAAAGTGTTACTAATTTTCAGCATAGTATGATCAAAACATACAGTTGATACATTATCTAATACTGTCCAAACACTAATTACAGCCGTTGAAAGCAAAATGAGGTAATATACTGGAGAATGTTAAATTGAGATAGATTGAGTGAGAGCAAATAAAGCTGGTAAAGATAGAGCGAGAGGGGAGGAGAGAGAAAGAGAGGGAGAGGGGGAGGGAGAACAATGGAGTACCAGGGTATTACAGGAAACATGAGTCAGCAAACATTGTTCCCCCTAGAAAAGTGTACATGTACGCTACAGAATACACGGGGAAAATGGGAGAGAGGTAGAAAAGGAAGAGGAGGAGAAGGAGGATGGAAGTGAGAAGGAATGAGAGACAGACAGAGGCGGAGATAGACAGACAGAGAAAGACAGAGAAAGACAGAAAGAGATAGATAGAGAGAGAGAGATCATATATTCCTGGACATGTATTGATATAGTAATCATTTACTTTGCAATGTCTCCAGATAATTATGTGGGAGCCGCCACTTAATTCCTCTTAAATTTTAATTCACATGGTAGTACTAATGTAATTCCGTACGTAACAATGGAATCACTTAAATGCCGAGCACAGATTACTCCCATCACTCAAATGTTTTAAAACAACTGTTTGTATGGGTGTAGGACAAAGTACGCCCGAGAACAACCACCCTCCTGAAAATTACCCCCTGTGTTTAGTATGTAAGGATCGAGAACTGGCATAAGGACTCAAAGGGGTGAATGGATTAAGAAAACATTGAAGAAATTATAAAAAGACGACCCGTTTCTTCAAGAGAGAGAGAGAGGGGGGGGGGGTGGGATTCAGTGATATTTTTGTTGACAGGTACAGCAATATACAGTAGATTTGCGGGTGCACCATGTGAGAGAGAGAGAGACGACGGATAGTCAACCTGTTCGAAACGTCGAGCCACTCATCCTCTCCAAGCGCTATAGTTCTCCTGAGAACTATACGTTAAGAAAGATAACAAACAGTCCTTTTCAGGACTACCACACCCCCAAGAAAGATTACTGAGTCAGAGTCCTTTTCAGGACTCCTCAACACTCTCTCTCTCTCTCTCTCTCTCTCTCAAATGGTGCACCCGCAAATCTACTGTATATCTACATCACCATGCAAGCCGACACCTACAAGCAGCATCTAGGTACATGTACAGCAATATTTTAAGAGAATATAAATAATACAAATGTTTCTGTTTTTGCTTCTGAATTATAATGTCAACTTCATAAAGCACGGGGCCTTCCTTAAATGCTACCCATTTTCAATATTTGTTGTTTATTATATGGCTAACATATCAAATTACTTTCTAATTCCAGGATAATGGTCAACTCCTCGTAGAGAAATGCCAGCTATCTACCGAGATGACTGCCATATTATGGTCCTGTCTAAGATCCTTCACCTCACTGAACCATCTCAGCATTTCAGACTCCTCTCTCAGTTTCCCTCCATCTCTTCGTGAGCTTTCATCCGTCACAAAGCTATCAGCTGAGAGTGTGACGTCACAAAGCTATGAAAGTCTGCTCTCATCGCTTCCTGGCTTGGGAGATATCGATATCACTATCGATGATGCAGAGAGAGACATACCTCAGATCACGGCTTGTCTTCGTCGGACCGGAGGACAGCAGCTCACACACATCACCATTACAGCACCGTCATCACTCCCATCCGAGAAGAGGAGTGTATCGAGAGAGACGATGAGAGGATTGGGTCTTCTGATCAGAGAACAAACCAAGAACCTACAGTGGCTGCGTCTATCCAGAGTGAAGGGCACGGACGAGGGAGACTTGGTTAAACTCGTTGAGTGTTGCAAACATGTGGAGACGATGAATCATCTAATGTGAGTTTATTGTACACATCTTTAGTCAGTGAATAATATTAATTATACTAATAATAATCATAATGTTGGTACCCCCCCCCCCAAAAAAAAAAAAAAAAAATAATAATAATAATAATAATAATAAATAAATAAATTTAAAAAAAAATAAATAAAAAAAAAATAATGAGTATTGATAACATAGATGATATAATTAACATTAATAGTACCTGTAATAATCATTGATGATAACCTCATTTTAATGCTAACAGTATCAAACATCTTGAACTTCAGATGGTGTTTTTGCTTTAGTTTACATAGGGCAATTGACACATAGCCTCTAAATAAAGGCGCTTAATTTTGTTTTTGTTGTGAATTTATTTTAAATATACCTGTTTTATTGGATGTTTACTATTGATTTAATAACTTCGTTCATGGTTCAAACAATAGATTGAGAGTCTGTCAGCTGGAAAGTAGCAAATTCACCAACCAGATGACGTGAATTTCTCAAAGCTAGCAAGGGGTCTGAATGCCATTATGTTCAGTACAAAACATATATGTGTATCATTATCCGGAACAAATAGGCTATAAATATACCGAAACAAATCATCTTGCTGTCTTGCATGTAAGTGTTCAACGGTTTTATTTTGTTTCTGTTATCACATAAGGCCCTACTCGTTGTTATGATGTATGACCTATACATGTACTAAATTCCTCAATTAAAGATTGTTTGCAGCTTAATTGACCACTTTTTTCCACCTGGAAAATCTTGTCTTAAATAAGTAGTAATAACTGAGAATATCTCAATAATCTCAATAATATAATTGTCAACATTAAGAAAAAATAATTTATTAATATGATGCCAAAACGCATGTTTGTTACTGTCGAAGGTCAGTCTATATGAACGATCATATTTTTGAAAGAAGTGCATGTTTCCTCGTGCGTTGGGATTCGTATTGATATGTATTTCACTTCGGTCGATCATGTCAACTCTGCGTGTGTTGTACCCCGCATAGAAATAGAAAATCTGTACGGAGTGCGACATTTTGTTCTGATCAGGCTACTTATGTTACTATATCATTCATTTATTAAAACATACATGTATATATCACATGGTCTTTGAGTGTATGAATGAACATTTTGTTACAAGCATAAATTATGTGTTATGCAAACACATAACGAATTAGAAAGGAAGATGGGCATCTGTCAAAGTAAAATGAACACTTATCAGATCTCAAAATGGGTATTTCTCATACCTAGAAATCGGCACTCATTACGGAGGATAAGGGGCACTTCATAGAATGGAAAGAAACACGTGCCACAGGGTTCTTGTTAATAGCCGGCAACCGGCTATTTTTTCCGGCTGTCGGAACCATAACAAAAAAAAAAAAAAAAAAAAAAATCGTAGCCGACAGAGACTGATGGACTAGAAGTTGAAACCCACAGTGCTGCAGCTCAGAATGATGACAAGCCGACGACAGTCACCAGGCAAAGTGAAGAAGGTGCCAGTGGGCAAGATGAAGCTGAAGACCAGGAGGTGAAGTCCACCCTTGACATCCTAGGTCTGGATGAGGATCTTCTTAGCCAGTCCTCAGATTCAGAAATGGAATGATCATTCACTATGTAATTATTGCAAAAAGTTTCAGGCTCAGGTACATGAATATTAAACATGTGTCACATTACATTTCAATATGCGAGAAAAGTTTAATACATTCTGATTGAATTGACAAGATTTTTCCTTCTAAGGTCTCTAGAATCTGAATGGGAGATCTTGAAATGCTAGGGGCTTGCCTTCAGGGGAGACTCCCCTCCAGACTGAGGCACTGCACCTGGACCCTGCTGGGGGCGTAACACCCCCAGACCCCTGTGACAGCTGTCACATACCTGCAAACCATTTACCAATCCAATTTTGTCATATTTTTTTTATGTGTGTTCCAATTTTTTTAATTTTTTATCGCAAACGATTTTCTTCACTGACAAGGTCCTGTAAACGTCAGTTAACCGTTTTTGCCCAGGACTACCTTGTATCATTATCATGTAATTCAAAATTGTAGATTCATCACAAATATGATTGATTTATCAGAAACAATAATGGAGCATTTTCATTTCATATTGTATATCATATGAAAAGTAAGTTATTCAGCCAAAATATTCATGATCTTTATCATTAAACTATGGCTCATACAGTGTGGTCATATCTTTAAAAATAAAGCTAAGATAGCACCAGAGAGCATCTAAAACCCTAAAGCTTCCAGGGCCCTTGGGCGGGCCCTGGACCCCGGCCGCAAGGGACTTCGCGCTTCGCGCTCGTGATGTGCTATGGCACTGTGCCATAGTATATAACATGGACACTTTATATCGCACTAGAAAGTGGCATTTATTACTAAGGAAAATGGGTATTTCGTCAAAGCAAAAGGGTCAACTATCAGATTAGAATAGGGATACTTATCACAGGTGATAAGAGCATTTATGTGAACGGAAACGGGGCACTTATTGGAAAGAAAACTGGGGAATTGTCTGTATAAAAAGTGAAAAAGAAAGGGCACTTACAAAAAATAAGATGGGCTCTTTTAAGGTACTCGAAGAAAAGGGACACCGGCTGGAGTGCCGCCTCTGTTGCCTGTTTAAAAAAACAATTTAAACAACCAATGCAAAGCGTTGCATCCCCTCGCCGGGTATAATGGCCTATATACGTCAGAGCAAGTTACCTCCATTATACAATACTATATTTACTGCAGCTTTTTCTCATGTACATAATTATCCCTTTTTGCATATTTAATGAGGTGTGACCTTTGGCCTTTGACGTACATATGTAAACAAATCTTTGAATGAACGATTGTTACTTACCACTAGTAGAACTGGAGGTTTCTTGTAGATGCCGAAAAGCAGGAGTAGTCTACTAGTGGAAACAGTGTTGGTTGACTGGACATATAAAACTCGACACTTCTACTAAAATAGGGTAGCTCAGCTAAAGTGTTCGAAAATGCAGTAATGTCCCCATACAATTATGTACACAAATGCTATCAGAAATCCTAATTAACTAGATGACTTGTACTAACGAAAGGAGAATAACTAACACGTAAGTTGCTCGTAAGTATCCGTGACAACTCGTGACAAATCGTGGAACTTTGCCTTTATACATCACGATAACTCGTAACAACTCTTAAATCGGTCGTAATGTAGACCTACATAGTGGCCAAATCTCAAGGATCCGTGAAAGATCCGTGAATTTGTGCGACCCGTAAGGACTCGTAAGAAAAATCCGTTTATGTGAAGGGGGTGTAAGTTATATCTTGTGGTTGCAGAAGAATAGGGCACGCAAGGAACCGAAGACCGAATTCGGTCTCGTGCGCGGCCTTTTTATGTTGCCACCTATTTCTTCATACTTCATACCGTTAACCCAAATAATGCCAGGTCATTTATTTTCGTGTTGATTTTATACATTCTAGCTGCACACAAATAATATTCAGGTGATCGGTACACTTCAACCGTACATGCACTCATCTACAAATGGGTGCAATTAACATCTTCTTTCCATTCCTCTTTTTTATACGCAATTTAAAAATTCATGTATAATATGTTGCAGGCTTCTTGGCTGTGGGACAAAGTCAGACGGTAGACTAAGACATCTCATCACTTATCTTAACAAGTTAGAGAAGTCACTCAGGGTGATTGCCTTGCATGTAAGTTACCTACTAAGTATATCGATTGCTACATGAATACAAGGGTTCGAGGACAATTACCCCCTGGACAATCACCCACCTCCCTCCCCCTGGCAAATTACCAACGGGACAATTACCCCACCCTGAAAATAACCCCCTTGGACAATCACATATCATTAGACAATGTATTTAAATGTATATAATGTGTATAGCGTGTTTGTAAAAATATAGTGGCATTCTGTTTATTGTTATATTATATTGGATGTTGGTGCTGCATGTACATGTTAACTACAAGATTATAAGATTATGCTTCCGATGACCCTACATTTACAAAAGCTTGAAAATAGAATCGAAATTAACATTAACACAAACCGTAAATGACCAGTATGTTTGGAGCCATTCACCAACCCACCGGTCCGTCATTTCATGCAATGACAGGTTGACGGTCTAAATGAAAATCAGCCATTCGCAGATCAGATTCACATATATGCAAAACAAAGTGATTGATTTATTGGCCATATATATGTATATTATCTGTACCGTTTTATTTAAAGCAGGCTTACCTCTTCAGTTTACAAACTGCTATCCGTGAGCGCCCTGCACAATAAAAACAACGTATATACAATATCTATGGACTTGATAAGTACATATTAAACTCATAATTGCAGGAGGATGGAAGTGAGAAGGAGAGAGAGACAGACATAGGCGGAGACAGAAAGACAGAGAAAGAAAGAGAAAGACAGAGAGAGAGAGAGAGAGAGAAAGTGAGTGAGAGAGAGAGAGAGAGAGAGAGAGAGAATAATATTCCTGCACATGTATTGATATAGTAATCATTTACTTTGCAATGTCTCCAGGTAAGTATGTGGGAGCCGCCACTTAATTCCTCTTAAATTTTAATTCACATGGTGGTACTAATGTATTTCCGTACGTAACAATTGAATCACTTAAATGCCGAGAACATATTTCTCCCATCATTCAAATGTTTTAAAGCAACTGTTGTATGGGTGTAGGACAAAGTACGCCCGAGAACAACCACCCTCCTGAAAATTACCCCCTGTGTTTAGTATGTATGTAAGGATCGAGATCTAACATAAGGATTCAAAGGGGTGAATGGATTAGGAAAACATTGGAGAAATTATAAAAAGACGACCCGTTTCTTGAAGAGAGAGAGAGAGAGAGAGAGAGGGGGGGGGGGGGGAGGGGGGGGGGGGGCAATGACATTTTTCTTGACAGGTACAGCAATATTTTAAGAGAATATAAATAATACAAACGTTTTTGTTTTTGCTTCTGAATTATAATGTCAACTTCATAAAGCACGGTGCCTTCCCTTCAATTCTTCCCATTTCAAATATTTGTTGTTTATTATATGTCTAACATATCAAATTACTTTCTCATTCCAGGATAATGGTCAACTCCTCGTAGAGAAATGCCAGCTATCTACCGAGATGACTGCCAGATTATTGTCCTGTCTCAGATCCTACATCTCACTGAACCATCTCAGCATTTCAGACTCCTCTCTCAGTTTCCCTCCATCTCCTCCTGAGCTTCCATCCGTCACAAAGCTATCAGCTAAGAGTGTGACGTCACAAAGCTATGAAGGTCTGCTCTCATCGCTTCCTGGCTTGAGAGAGATCGATATCCGTATCGATGATGCAGAGGGAGACATATCCCAGTTCACGGCTGGTCTTCGTCGGACCGGAGGACAGCAGCTCACACGCATCACCATTACAGCACCGTCATGGCTCCCATCAGAGAAGAAGAGTGTATCGAGAGAGACGATGAGAGGACTGGGTCTTGTGATCAGAGAACAAACCAAGAACCTGCAGGTGCTAGGTCTGTATGGAGTGGAGGGCACAGACGAGGAAGACTTGGTTTACCTCGTCGTGTGCTGCAGACATTTCAAGACGATGTCAGAGCTGTGGTAGGTTCTTGTTTAAATCTTGTATAAAATAGATTAAAATCCTACTAGACGATCCTGTTTAGTTAGTCTGCCGTGAAAAAGCATAATGGTACGAATGCTTGAAGGGATGCAAAGGTTAAAACATGGGTGTAACTTCCAAGTGTTTGACTGAAAGTTAGGATGGGTTTTCTTTGTTTGATTATCGCTCTCAATTGTTATTTTAGAATTTTAATGTACAATCGCAATGAATAGATTGAATTTGAATACCTGTATTGAAAATCCAAAATTTTGATATACAGTTACATGTATTATTATAAACCGTCGGAAGGTAAAATAATGTAAGTCCATTTTGACTTTAAAAAAAATCATATCCTGATTAAATTAATTATCATTATCATAAATTGTCATTATTATTATTATTATTAATATTATTAGGTCTATTATTATTGTTATTTTGCCACTACTATTATCATTATCATCATTTATTATTATTGCGTTTACTACTATTAATATCATCATCATGTTATCATTGTCACTATCTGATTAATTATCATCAGTATCAATATTTTGGGTTGCAAGTACGTGTTTGATTTTTTAGGCAGAATGGCGAATCACCGAATACCGGCAGCGAATTAAAAGGTTTTGTGCTCTAGCTGCAATGAACCGTTAAAGGCAAACTGTCCTTTTTAAAATTATTCTACATCTTTTGTTTGATGCATCGTCTAAAGAACATCAAGTTCCATGAGGTTGCAGGTATGCCCCCCCCCCCCTGCCAACGTCAGCTCTTACTCTTCGACTCAGAATTTGTGAATTTTGAAGCTTAAGCAATGCCAAGATAGGGGAAATGACTCATTTTCCCCTTTTCTCCCCCCTGGAGGGTTTTTCATCAACTACAATCAATTTCGATTTAAAAAATCAACTTTTAAGGCTGAATCACTTTTGGCTTAAAACTAATGCTCGTGAGCTGTTTTATCGACTCAAATTTAAACTAGAATTGATTTTAATAAATATTAGGTTAAATGTAAAAGGGCTCTGTAATAAAGGCTAGTCGGTGTTGGGTCAATCAACCACAACATTGCGTCGCTACACTACTGCAAGAAAGGTCCTCGAAAAGTAGGTAAATTCCGTTCTGTTGATACAAAAATTGTTATTTTGGTAGAAGGAAAGTATTCCTCTCATTTGTAACCGAACGTTATTTGGAATAAATATCAACTGAAAGCATTCTCCAACTGAGCGAAACTTAAGTTAACTCTTCGAATTGCACCGGTTCGTGCATTTCCGTCCAATTCATATAGCCTACATTCATGCATGTTTAACTGTAGCCTAGTTCTACTTGTCTAACGATGTTGAATATTTGGTTAGGACATGTAAGAAATATAGTTTATTCTTTCATTTGATAACAAAATAGGTCTACCACGGCTTTAGGAATCATCGTGTTGTATGGTTTCGTCGATAAGTCTAGTGCTTAAAATTTAGATTTAGTCTAGGCTTAGATTCCAAATCTAGGCCTAGATCCAGGCTATACTACTTTGTTTTGTTGCCGGTAGGCAGTGCGGTCGCCATTGTTTTGTGTTAATAATAACAATTAACGAGATCATTGCTTTAACTTCAACATTTTATGCTAGAAAATACGACTCTACGGTATCAGACCGAAGACCAGGTTAGATCTTGATTAAGATCTTGATGTATCATTTAGTCTACATGATACCAGATCTAGGATAGATGTAGACCTAGTCTTCACACTGCACCCTTTGTGCAGGACTAACTTAGATAAGTTAGGAGTTAGAGTTAGTCCCTGAGTCATAGATGTAGTTGACTACTTGTATTTTTGTGACATCTAAATTAACAGGAGTTAGATCTAGTCTACGTCTAACAGTAAAAAGTTAGATTTTAGACTAGATGTAGAATGTTATGTAGGTCTAGTATTAGGCTCATGTATCAAGCTCTCCTGTTTTGTTTTTCTTTCAGAGTCAGAGATGGAGTGGACCTGGCCATTTGAGTCATATCCAAGAAATAGACCTCTAGTCTAAAACTTCTCTCTCATCGTGTCTTCAACGTCTTGGACTAACTTCTCATCCTACCTTGGCCCGAGGAAAGGGTTTGGATCTGCATAATGTAATCCAGTTCAAGGTACTGCAGATTCTACTGTGCTAAGTGGCCTTTTGATGTGATTTTCTTAGCAAAGTTTGAACACCGACATTAAAACGGTGAGGGTTTTTTTTTTTCTTCTTCTAGACCTGCATAGATATGAATTACTAACTTGTTGTTGAGTTTATAGTCTTGATATTCATTTATGATAAAGGGTTAAGATACCGGATATTGGATTTTACAATAACAAACTGAAAATTATGTGTTCTTAATTTAAGAAGAAGCCAACCATGACAGGTAAAAAGAAACATAGATAAATTACTAGATCAGCCAGATTCTGATCAATAGTGTATAGCATAGGGCAGCAATTAAAGTATAAAGATGTGGTTGAACAAACTCTATGCATGATGTAAGTTTCAACCTGTTTGTTATATACCAGTTTAGGTATTTCTTTCTCTTCTATTCACCAGAGGGTATTTTTATCAATTCTCTGTACAATAGGGTTTGGTTCAAGATCAGATTATCTAAGATTAAGATTAGACTGCTGTAGAGTCAGATAACAAATGAAAGCTACAGTTTAAGATTAGCACATTCAAGTTCAATATTTTAAAATAATGTTCGGGATCAAAATCAAAATCAAGATGAATCAAAAATGTGTATTATTCAAAAAAAAGTTCCACGTACCAAATATCACATTTTCAAAAACTTTAAATGTGGTTAGTTACGTGACATAGTGGTTTGACCCAAATACATTTAAATTACAATTGATCAGTGATGAAAATGTACTTTTGTTCAGTTGAACACATTAAAGTGACAACTATTTTTTCTGTGAAATATATTTGCTCTCTTTATGGTATATGTATATCTCTGTTTTAAATCTTAGGTTGCAAAGTAAAGATCTGTGGTATCTACATGAACTGCAAACTCATGGCATCTGGACTTTCATACCTAAGGTGTTTTCCATCTCTTCAAGTTGAAAAGGTGAGCGGTATCAGTTAAAATAATTGATCTTATCAGTATGTTTTGTGCCTGTCATCATTGCCCCTAGAGCAATCAAGAAAAACAATTTTAAGCAAGTACAGTTATCATAGTCCTTGTTAGAGGTCTAATTACGATTTTACCCAAACTATTGTATAAAACATACACAAAATGATTATGAAAAGATTCTTTTTTGTTTCCAAAGCCTTAAATAAATTATTTATTATCTTTTCTAACTAAAACTGCTTTCGTATCAATATTTAAAAAAATATGTTCATTATCCTTCTTCTTGATGTATTTTCCAATAAAAGAAATTGACATGACTAGAAATACAAAATTTGTATAGTCTATAGATTGAAAAATTACACTAGTATTTATTAATATTTGTATTACATAACTTTCAATTTCAAATTCTAGACTGCAGAGCTTGAATCCCCTGCAACATTATTCTTCATATGGAACATCAGGCAGCCTACATATTCAAGCTCCCTTTTCCAGCTCTAAGCAAGAGGGACCACAATGCTAAACAGATCGTGGAATAGTCGCTTTCTCATTAATTACGACTTCCGGTGAAACAGATTTTCAAATAAATTCATCTGAAGATATTAAAAGTGCTCCAGTCTGTGTACTACAATTTGCCATCGAGTATGGAATCATTGGTTTGACAATATTTCATCAAGTAATGTTTTAAAGGAAGTAAACAAATTAATGATACTTCCAACAATTCTATTCTTTTAAATAGAATCGTAGAATCTTGGAAAAGAAAGAAGAAAACAACTATTTACAGTTGAAAGATAAAACTAAAGTAATAATCCATATTAAGTTTAATAGCTCTGCAATTTAAGCCTGCACTTTCGAGAAATATCTCGCTAAGTGTTGTTGCTGATCTAAAAAGCTATGATTCTTTCATGGAGGCTGTTGTTTCTAAACTTACATTACCTAGATAAATCCGTTAATGGCGATGAATCTTAAAATATCAAATTGGAAATTTTAAAGTAGCAATTCATAGGGGGCAGCAGTGGGCCAATTTGAGGGCCTATTTGGAACTCTTAGTAGAGTTTGTGTTGGCAAGAATTTGTGTCGATAATTACCTGTTGATACCTGAATTGGATATTCTTAGCAATTGCACAAGAACAAATACAAAATAAATAACCGAACATTGTAATTGCAGTGAAAACAGATTTGTCCGGTAGGAAATAATATATCAACTCGGATTCATGTTGTCCTTAAAAAATTCTCAAAGCTGATAGAAAAAAAAATGATGATTAACTTTGTATAGACAAACTGTTGTATCAAGAAAAACCCATTTTCATCAACTGCATGACCTTACATGGCAATGTGTATTACCCTTATATTAACAACCATATTAGTTATAGCAATCATTACGACAAATCTTACTCTTTTAATCTCCACTAATGTACCGTACATGTACCTCGACTAGACAGTGGCAGATATTAGCTGCAATAGTTTTAACAACCGGTTGTCACTTAAAGAGCAGTACTTTCATTTGTGTCATTGGAAATGTTCTTATTGTATCCCTTGAAATTAATTGCTATTGCTCATCATTTATAAAATGTAGATTTTCATGCATTAAAGCATAAGAATAGCTATAAGACTTTAAAGCTTGAAAAATGTATGTAAATGTTATTTTGTATTTGAGTAATTTATCGTTTGTCATGTAATACGAAAAAAATGAATGGATGAGATTATGCGATAACACATAACTAGTAATTATGAAATGATGATAAAGGGCAATGATATATGATTCAATGATGGTGTGTTTGTTTGATCAGATAACCTAGCAATAATTTTGTTAGAAGCCAGTGGTAAATATTTGGATTTTTTACTTTATTTATGTATTATTATTATTATTATTATAACTGTTTTGTTATGGGGGGGGGGATGTAAAAGAACAAAACAATCACTTTGAAAGGGACAGAAAGCAAAGAGTTGTGATAGCAGTGTGGTTGTGTGTTAATGAGAGAGAGAGAGAGAGAGAGTATGTGAATGGAGTAAGGGCACAAATTTATAAACAAATAGATAATTAATGGCACAAAATTAGCCTTTAATTTTGTACAAAATTCTCGATTCTCTGATACATAAAAAAGTTGTTAGCCTTCATTTACGGCATTTACGCCTTACAAGCAAATCAGTGCTTGAACATATCGAATTAATAATGGGATGATTTTTGTTTTAATTCGTTTTATTTCAAGAGGGTTACTTTCTCAGTAAAAAAAACTGTTTCATTGAGAAACCCTCTATTAATACACTGAGAGGAAATTGAACAACGTTTAAATACATATCACATATCATATCATGGATTCTTTTTCTTAATGTTTTTTTTTTTATACACCAGAATATAAACACGAACAAAATTATAGAATATAATATAATTCCTTTCAAATAAAAAAATTAATGCAGGAAAGCTGAAATACTCGTTCGGTTTCTTTATTTATTTACCGAAATAAACAGTCTCTGGGATAAAAAAAGAAAAAAAAAAAAAAAAAAAAAAAAAAAGGAGATGAAATTGATCTTATAATGTATATGGATCACTTCCCATGTCCCTTTTGCAGCCAACATCAAATTCTGTAGAACTTTGCAGGAATTATGAATATGTCATATATGTCCTATTTGTGAGATTTAAACGTAGCAGTGTCCTAATATTCAAATTATGCACGGAAACCCGTTTACTTGCTAGACTTCACTGTCAGACATGCACTATTGAGTGACTGACCGGCTTTTTTCATCTTTGGTAATAACATAACATGAACTGTAAAGGGTACATGAGGAATCGTCTACATCAATAACCCACTGCTTGTAATGGCCAAAATTTAACTGATTAGGTCAGCGGCCTAAGTTAAGCCTGGCCTAACTAAACCGCGGACTAAGTTAGGCCAGGTTTAACTTAGGCCGCTTTCGAGAATACCACCCTAAGAGTATCATATTTTACGCATTCTCTGTCTGTTTCTCTTTCTTAATTTCTCTGTTCTTTGTGTGTCTCGATCTCTACTCTATGTTGTTGTTGTTTGGTATTATCGGCGTTTCATTCTTTTTTAGAATATTTACGCCTTTCTCCTTTTTTGTAATACTATTTGTAAATTCGTACTCTTCTCTTTTTTTTGGATAATATAATCTCAGATCTACTGGTCCATGAAAACCCCTCACCGCAATTGGCACCTTCCTTCCTGCCAGAACGGCGAGGTACATTGCGCAATCTTCTCGGCCATCATTGGCCTAGGCAACTCTGGTGCCGGTGAGAGGATTCTGGGGTATATCTTCAGAGTATCTTAATTGTTTGGGGTTTACCTTCCTCAATCCGTCTTTACTCTTTCTTTCCTTTTCTCTTCTAGTATTTTTCTATTTTGTAAAACCTTATTTTTCTATCAAAGTAGGTATCAACATCTTTGAGCATTTGGTTGTCATGCGATATGTGCAAAAAAAATAAAAAATTCTAGTAGGGACACTCAAAACGCCTCGTTCTACGAACGAAGCGGATCAATGCTCTCTGTGTCACACTTTTTGTTGATTTTAGGAGTTTCATTATTTCGTTTGGGCTCGTTATATCACTTTCCATTATCAGCATTGCTCTTTCTATTGTATATTTTGGACATTCCATCAGATAGTTTGATGAAACAAACTGTGAGTGCAATTGGTCTATACGATGATACTTTATGTGGTTCTTTGTTAGGTGTTTTGATTGGGACAATAATTGAGTGTTTACATTGCCTTGGTATTTGCCCCGAGCTCCAAATTTGATTTATCAAATTTAGCATGGTCTGTTTTGCTGATTTCGTGAGTTTTTGGTATATTAAATATTTAATATTATCGTGTCCGGGGGTAAGAGGAGGAATTTTGACGTTCGATTGCTGCTTCTAATTCTGATAGTGTGAAATTGTCGTTTAGGACTGAGGGAAAATTTTCTCTATATTATTTGCTACGTGAGTGTACAGTTGGGAGCTAAGGTCAACTTTGTGTTTAGTTACGTAAGTATAATCTTCAGCTATCTTATTGACCTTTTCCTGATCGGTAATATATTCTATATTATTTTCTTTTAGTGTTGGTAAGCATTCTTTTTTTTTGGTATGATATTGTTGTATCTTTTTATCATTTTCCAAATTTCTGAAGTCGGAGTGAATCTCTTATCGTGCCACAGGGCTTTTCCCCATTGTGCCAGGTTGTTTTGGAGATAATCTGATTAACGCGATGGTTCTATGAATGGCGAGTGCAAAACACACAGCACAGCCCAATGAGCATGAACAATAACTGCTATTACAAAAGCGCCCTTGCACGCACATGGCACTCAATAGGTAGCGTGCATGCAGCCTCATGGCAGGCTATGGGTTAAGCCTGGAGCAGTATTTGTTCCAATGTTGTCTTTTTGCTTCTCTTATTGTTTTCTGTGTAAGGGCTTTCTTATTTAGGTATTCGTAGAGATAATCTTTCGTCATGTATTTGAGGGCTTTATTTTTGGCTATGTTTCGTTCTTTAATTCTCTTTTGGCAGTCTTCATTCCACCATGGATTGTGTGGTTTATGGTTTTTAGTTACTGTTGGTATGGTTTCCTTCATAATTTTCTTTGTGACGTGTATGAATTCGTTGTAGTATTCTTATGTGTTTTCATTTGGAGTTATATTGGACAGTTCTATGTCGCATAATTGTTCAAATGCTTTCCAGTCTGCTTTTTTGTAACTAAGATATGGTTCGTTTCGTTTTGTATATTCTCTTTCATGTATTTCTTCTACAGGATGTAGATTGATTTGTATTTCTATAGGGAAGTGATCACTTTCTAACTGATCTTGCTTTACATTCCACTGACATCTATAAGCTATGGAGGGTGTTGCTAAGCTTAGGTCTAGACAGGATAATTTTTCCGTATGGTGATCCATTCTCGTACCTGATCCATCGTTTAGTATGATAATATTTATTCTTCTATGATGCGGCCATTTACATCGGTAGTGTTACTGCCCCATAATGAGTTATGGCTGTTAAAGTCTCCTAGGATTAGCAGGTACTTTGGGATAGCATATTCTGGAATGATGGCCTTAAGGGTATCTATGTCTAATCGCTGACATGGATTGTAATAATTTACTACTGTCATGCAGGAATTTTTGAGGTGCAGTTGAATAGTTTGCAATTCAAAGGTATTATGAAGTGTTATATTTTTGAAATATACAGAGTTGTGTACGTAAATGGCGCATCCGCCTCTCACTCCGGTTTTTCTGTTGCGTGGTATACATGTATAATTTGGTATTTATAATATATTATTTTCTGTCAACCACGTTTCTTGAATGCACAATATATGGTAAGGGTTATTCCTGCGTGACAGTAGCAATTGAACTAGTTCGTCCCCGTGCCCCCCTTGGAGACCTTGGGCATTCCATAGTAGTATGGAAAGTGCCGCCATGAAAAGGAGAATTTTAATTATGTTCTCCATGGTGTTTCATTATTTCTAGCTCTTCAGGTAATATATTGAGACAATGCTGGGCTTCTGCGAGAAATTTGTTCATCTGTTGTGTTCGTGGGATGTCTTGTTGCATTATTTCTATGACACGGAAAAAAAACATTAGGAGATCCAGGGAGATGTGACTTCTCTCTGGGAGATCAGTGTTCTTGGCTGTGGTAATGATGTTGGGTTTACCACCACTGTTGGAATGTTGCATTCTCCACTGTTTTACATATACGGAAGGGGTAATCAAACTTTCGCTTTGATTGGTTTCTATTTCAATGTATTGTGTATATTTTGTATTTGGTCTGCTTTGTGTGGGAATTTGTTTACTCTTTGTTTCTTTCTTTTCTTTGCTTGTGGGTACTTTATTATTGCCGTTTGTGCTCGATTCCTTAGAGTTAGTTTTTTCCTCTACTTTTGTTGCCTCTTTGAAATGTTTCGTGGCTTCGGCATAACTTATTTTCTTTTCCAAGCGGATTTCTTGGACAATTCTTGCGTTTTTGGCTTCGATGCACCCTTTGAATGCTGCTGAGTGGTTTCCTTTGCAGTTAACACAGAAGGGATTGGATTTTCTGGGACATTGGTCGAAAGGGTGGTCTTCTTCACACCTGACTGAGTCGTTGCGATTTTTAGGGGACCCAACACACAAAAAAGGGGTCCTCTTACCCCCCACCCCCCCCCCTACCCCGCTTATTCAGCGACCTGCCGAGTCGTTCGATTTTTTGGGGACCAAAAAAAAATTAAAAATGTGTCCTCTTACCCCCCCCCCCCCCCCCCCCCCCGCCATATCAGGCGGACTTTGGGAATGGGTGTTGCTCCTAAGTTAATTCTGTTGGTTAATGTAGCATACAGTGCAGTGCAGAAAAATGCCCGAAAATATTGCGTACCTCTTGCTGGCAATCCCAATACACAAAAACAATTCAAATACTATACGGAGTTGGGTCGGAAAGAGATAATTGGTTTCCTTTCACTGAGACCAATCGCTTGTTCACGTGATATATTTCGCGCCAAATACAAAATTGAGCGTGGTTTCCGACAATCAGAGAAACAATTTTGATATTTTCCACAAATTAAATTCCGAAGAGTAGTATGATGAATTCACAACATGTATATTCCAGAAAGACTGGGGTTGGCAATCCAAAAAGAAAATTGAGTACATTTAGTGTCAATTGAAGATTCAATTCAATTCGATCGAACACCGGAGCTCGGAGGAGGCACGTCCGTAGCAGACGGTCTGAGAAACGGTAGTATTCCTCTCTGTTTATATATATATATATATATATATATATATGACCCCCCCCCCTCCCTTATCGCTCTCTCTCTCTCTTTCTCTAATTCTTTTTCGTTAGTCTAACACCTTACCCCATCACTCTGTTTTCTGAACATAGGTTACAGTGTTGTGGAACTAGAGAGGGCGGCAGAGTGGAATCTCATCTCAAAGGTCTTCAAGCATCATCATCTGGCGACCTCTCTGTGCATATTCATCATGTAAGTATCGTTCCACGTTGTGTGCACTGTACACTTTCACTATTTCTTATTTTCATCTGTATAATGACCGCTATTATGCAAATATTGTTCTGTATTATCGTTTTTAATATTCAATTTCTAAATTTTCTTTCCATTTTTGGCCCATTTTCTTTGTTAACGTTTCCTTAGTGTTATTTTTTTTTCTTGTAAAATCATCCCCTTCTGCTTCGTAAGTTTTTTAAACTGTTTTATATTTTGAGTTTCCTGGCTTGGGAGATATTGATATCACTATCGATGATGCAGAGAGAGAGACATAGCTCAAATCGCGGCTGGTCTTCGTCAGACGGGGACTCTTTTGTCTCTGTCCCGGGTCTCTGTATTTAGTGTTGTTGATGATTGTTATCCCATTTCCTAGACTCCAAATGCTCAGAAGAATATCAAAACGTTGCTAAATGAAATAATTTATATGTTCTCTCTCCCATGTGTTCCTATTACGTTTTTTACACGTAATTCACTTTGTTTCCTCTGTCTGGATTTGCACTTCAACATTCTATCAGATATTTAATCAAATATATCTTTGTTTTGGGTGTTGTTTCGATGGTACGATTATAAGTATGATTTATTATCTTTATTCCTTGCATGAAATTGAGAAGTTTATTTGTTCAATCACTTCATTGTTGGCTCTTTTTTGGGGGGGGGGGGGGGGGGGCGGGGTGCTACTCACGTTATAACTGGAGCCCATTCATTATTTTCAGTTGTGCTACCACTCTTAAGCCATTTCTTAATTGTACCATTGATTATGTCTGTGTTTAATGTTGTATACTTTTTAATTCTGCCCCCCCCCCCCCCCATGTTGCTCTCCGGTTGTCTCTTTCTCTCTTTTTGGGGCGTTCTTTATCTGCATCAGAGTCGGCGCTCATGGGGAGGGGGCACAATGCCCCCCTGTTTCTTTTCTTCTTCAAGTACACCAGAAGCGCTTGCTTTTACGATAGAAAAGTTTTCATTTTTATTGTGCCGCTGTTTTTTCCTCAATAAGTGTCCCTTCCCCTTTTTTATGTCCCCTCATCAAATTTGCAAGGTGCCTTTTACTTTGACAAATGACCTTTTCCTTTTTTATGAATTCCCTTTTCCTGTTTTTCTAACTGCCTATTTTCATCTCTGATGTATGCACTTTTGTACAACTGAATGATTGACTAATAGGTTTATTGAGAACATTCCATGATATTTCATTCCTTTGACTTAGCCAATGGGTTAACAAAATATTTCCAAATTGTAAAAAAAAGATATATATAGACCATGTCAATTTTTCAGTATTAATGAGAAATAGAAGAAGCGAAAGGCAGAGGAGAGAAGAGATGTAGAAGAGTAGAGAACAAGGCTAAGCAGAGCGACCGAGGAAGGAAACAAGTTTGGAGAGCCAGAGAGGTAGAAGAGGGTTGATAGGAGAGGGGAGGTACACCATAGGTTAATACTTTGGCCATAGCTCTTATAGATCACATATCTGTCTTTAATTTACACGGAATATATATACATGTATATAACAGGTGACGTACTGCAACACTTAATCAATACTGAACAGGAAAGAAATGAACATAATAGGGTGAAGGAAGAACAGGAATGATAAAAGCGGAAAGAGGGAAACTGGCAAAGGAATAGAATGAGACCAAGAAGAAAGCGACGGGGGAGATACATCTAGAGCGAGAGAAAGAGAGAGAGAGAGAGAAAAAAAGTTGTAGGTAAGAAGTATTGGTATATCATAGGAATAAATAGTTCGCTATGTCATTGATATTATTCATTCATAATTTTGTTTCATACAGAGAATATATAAACAAGATATTTCAATGTAAAATAATTTCACGTACTGTATCATTGAATTATTAAATAAATAGATAGGTAGAAGGAGAGGAGGAGGAGAGAAAAAATAAGAAAGGGGAGAGAGGGAAGGACAAAACTAGCAGATCAATATGATGAGATTTAGAAGGATACAGAGGGAGAGGGAGAGGTATAGGAAGGAGAGGGAAAGAGGGGGGGGGGAGGGGTTTAGGAAAGTTCGAATGTTAGGAAAGTTCGACATGGTGGCTTTCTATGAATAATGATACGATTCGACTGCAATCCATATAACTATTTATTTACTTGTACAGAAAATATTGAGCAACTGTTACAAAATACATTTTATAATCCTCTACAACAATTGCGCAACCGCGCAGAGAGAGAGAGAGAGAGGGGGTAGGGGGAGACAGACGAAAAGAGAGAGGAGAGGTGTACAGTGTATACGGAAACGGACTTTGGATCACACGGTTCGCGGTTCGAATCCCGCAGTAATCTACATCTGTCACTCTCCACCTAGGTGTTGATGGGTACCCGGGCAAGCCCGTATAGAGCGAATGTGAATGTGGTTGGAGCTTGTGTGAGCTTGTAAAATGGCGCCTGAGCTAGAATTCTCTCCATGGAGCGGAACGTGTGCACTTTCATGTGCAGATTAGCAATTGAATACAATGATGGGCTAATTATAATTACAGTGTAAATTATAAATGTTTATAAAAAGTTAAAAACGATTATAAATGTTGTATTAAGCGCTACAAGTTTGACTATTATTATCATCATTATTATTATTATTATTATTATTATTATTATTATCATTGTTATTAAAAACACAGAGGGTGAGATGTAGATAGATGGTAACATAATTATATGTATCAAATACAATCGTATCAATTTCTATCGAAATAAAAAGAGATTTGTTTCCCAGTGTGTATTAATTACGATATATCGATCTCACCAGATATGGTAGGACACTACTGCTGAATCTTTCATTTCTATACTTAGCATATTGTTGTGTCGGACTAGGCGCGGATCAAGGGGGGGGGGGGGGCTAGCGGGCCTTGGCCACCACCCCCCCCCCCCCCCCCCCCCCTCTGGCAAAACAAAAGACAGGCCTCCAACCCTGGCAACAAAATAGTGCTCGCTACCCCCACCCCCCCCCCCTCCACTGAGCGAAATATCAAATTTCCGGGGGCAAACAAGAAAACAAATAGTGCTCCCCCCCCCCCCCCCTCCCTACTGAGCGAAATAACGGCCGGCGCGATTTTCATATTTTCCGGGGGCAAAAAAAGAAAACAAAAAAGTGTTAGGACACTACTGCTGAATCTTTCATTTTTACAGTTACACTCTCTTAGCCTATTGTTGTGTCGCAGTAGGCGCGGATCAAGGGGGGGGGGGCGCACCTTGTCCCCCCCCCCCCCCCCCCCACTGAGCGAAATATCGGCCGGCGCGATTTTCAAATTTTCCGGGGGCAAAAATGAAAACAAATTTGAAGTGCTCACTACCCCTCCTCCCCCCCCCCCCCCCTATACAAAATCTTGGATCTACCACTGCTGCTGGTCACCATTACATACCAATATTTGGCTCGCATGATTTCAAATTATCATTTATATGTAAAATCCAATGAATATGTAAACAATGCACTGCTATGTCGTTGAATATTATTCTTCTTATCGTAATTCATTATGTTTTCTCTTTCAGAATAATTTATTTAGAAAGGTGTTCTTCATTACCCATACTGATTGAGCCACAGTGCAGCTGTACCTGACATCATTTGTTTGTTCTCACGTTGGATGAGTTCCAGTGATGACTACACACTACCCGGTCAAGTTGAAATGCTGCATTGTCTCATACCTGATGTATACCTGATCTACTTCCTGGTATTTATTAACCCATTTCCTACTGGAACCGGGCTAGTTTTGTATTCAAATTATGGGGAATATGTTATTAAAATCAGTAGTCAACATGTTAACTTCCAGGAGAAATGAAGTTAAATTGATTTCATCTTCATTTCTAGATAATGTAGGCCCCTGCTAACCAGCTTTATGCATTGTCATTGGTAATTATGTTATTGAATGTAAATCTTGCCTCATTTCCATCATCGTACTTGGACTAATAGCACTCCTTATTACAGTTTTTTTTCTCAAATTATCTTAGCAGCATGTTGTTAAGATTTAGAAACACTTATGTACACATACGTTGTTTGCACTGTTTTATGAATCAAATGTAATGATGATCTACGATGTAGATTCATAAAAACTCAGCTGTTTTGGGAAATGTTGTGAACATATTTGAAAAGGATTAATGTCCTCTGTTAAGACATTGATCTACATTTGCCACACTAAACCCAGGTGATGTATATGGGTACCTGGCAGGAATTATTTCCTTGAAATGCTAGAGCGCCGGGGTAATAATTGTGGAGCGCCAAGAGTGTCAAATCTGACAGACATGAGCGCTATGCAATATACAATATACATATATTTTTGTTTGCCTTTTCAAAAAATTGGAAAGCTATTTGAATTTTGAAAATAATTAAAATCTGCAATTGGACTATTTCCCTAATCTTTGTACAAACATAATACTTGTATATGGGATGATCTTGATGGCGAAATACTGCAGAAAATGCATGCTTACAGCTATTGTGGATCTTTAAACACACTTATTTACACGCCCTCAACACCGAGTACATCACACCCCCCCCCCTTTTTTTCGATTGGGGGAGAGATGAAGGAAAAGGAAACAGAACGTGAAATAATACATGTAGTATATTTTCGGGCAACAGGCCCTCCCGGTTTTGTCTCATTTTACCCGGTTTTGTTCGATGAGGATAAAAATCATGATACAACATTTTATTTGTTAATGGCCTTTTCTTACGTTTTGTATCATTCATTATATTTTCGTAGCATTTATATCAAAATAATGCAATTTATGTCAGTACTTCACGTCACCATTTAAATATGAGACATATACCCAATGAGTCCCATGTAATGCATAAAGCTAATTAATGACTTGTTGTAAAAATGTGCATATCTTTATTCTGTACCAACTTTTGTATTATATGTACTTTATATGTATAAATGTATATACATACACACATTATATTATTCATTATTTCGACAACTACACCTTGGATTTATATTATAATAGCACTATTTATTGTATTGTAAATAGGTTTGTGTGACGAAAGAATTCACGAAGTCCATACAAAAGATGCATGTTGTGTTGGAAGATTAAGTAATCTTGAAGTGATAATTCCATCGTGTTAATCTTTACAGCTGCCTTAGGTAACTTTATTACTTTTCATTATTTCATTCTGTATTGATATGCATTTTACACAAAATATGTGGTTGATCATTGTTGGAGTGTATACCAGTTGTTTCTATCATATATTTATGATGGCACTTGTATCATGTATGGGGATTGCCCTATAGATGAAGTAGAATGTTTCATTTGTTATTCACACAAATACAGTACACATCTTACTCATTTAATGATTTAAATATGATATGATGTTGATTTTTATGGGGCGTAACAACGATACAAAAAAGGAAGAAAAAAGGGTGATGCTAGAAAGAAATGGTTCTTTAATAGTGGTGGTTTAAAGGAAAAATTGTTATGAATACAAATGTGTATGGGAATAGAAAACAAAAATAGCAAAGACATAAAGATACAATGCATATAGTATCATTGGTTTTATTACAACTCTACGACAGTTAAAACTTACATGTATGATATATGTACAAGAAGATGTATATAAACATTGAGTTATCAGGTTGTGGCAAGTGATCAATCTTGATCTTGATTCCTGAAATTGTGGTAAAAGCGAACATGAATGTTACCACAGATGTCCGAACAATAAATATTGATGACTCTTTCATTATGAAGGGATGCGTTGTTCTAGCGCCACCTTGTGACTGCTTTAGTAATAAACCACTTAAACTATATCTGATTGATACACGTCTGTAAAAACCCAATACACACACACACACACACACACACACACTTGAAAAACTGTGCAATCTACCCAGGAGACAACGTGTAACTGGTGCATTTCTTATCGCGGTCTTATCTTCCCTAAGGTGTCACAGCTATAAAATGTTGAGAGTTGTGATCACTACACTTAAAGGAAATTCAAATTGGCCACACCGGTAATGTCACTGTGATGTAGTGGCGAATAATATTCCCATTTGATCCAACAATTATATACAGCAGAAAAACTTTTTTTTCTTGTTGTAATAACATGACACATAATGCATTAAGTAAATAATTAAGTAATATTGACTGCCTTCTGGGCAATACGACATATATCGCCCGAACCGAAGGTGAGGGTGATAATGACAAGTCGTATTGCCCTGAATTAGGCAGTCAATATTACTATTATTAACCACATCAGACATCTAGAGCAAACAAGAAACTCTTACTATCTTATACTCTTAAATTATGTAGGCTATACAGGGTTTCCTAGCAATAGAAGTTGCAAAAACATTGTCAAACCAGCACTGTTCATCCAGTGTTTGACAGATTTTCGATACACTGCACACAGTTTGCCTTGGGTTTGATTGTTACGTCACAATGGAGTTCGCGCAAAGTGCGCATTTTCTTATACACGATGCGCGATGTAGATTACAGTAGCTGATGCGCGATGTAAATTACAACTGGATCTACATTATTGCGCACTAGTTTAACACGCATTTTGCCATTGACTTTTCTGAGCGGGCTAAAATATTTTTCCATTGGTTTACTGTATAACCTATATTGCCCGCCAAATTACACACAAATCCCATTGACTCTTCTGAGCGGGGTAAAATATTTGTCCATTGGTTTTCTGTATAACCTATATTGCCCGCCAAATTACACACAAAATCCCATTGACTTTTCTGAGCTGGCTTACTTATTGTAATTTTGTTGACTTATCCATCAAACCTTGAGGGCAATAACATTTAAAAATTACCCTGCTCAGATGTCTGATACGGTTTATAATATAATGTATCATTATACATCCGGATATTTATATGTATAAAACCTGTTTGTAATATAGCAGTTTTCTTAATAAATTATAACTCATACTATAACAAATAGGTAAATGAGGTACATGAAATGCAATAGATTATCGTTTCGTCTAAAATAATGACGTAATAGTACTTATACATAATGTATGCGCCTTACTGTAAAATCCAATCAAAAACATGAGACATTCAAAGGCCCGAATTCACAACAGTGGTACAAAACCCCCCGGGGGTTTAAACCCCCTCCTAGGTTTTTGAAACCATGGTTTAAACCCCCGGGGGGTTTAAACCTCTCTCTGATTCACCAACGATGGTTTCATTTGTACCATGGTACAATCCAATTGTACTATGGTACAATCCGTTGTACAAAAGAAACCGTGGTTAAACCGCGGTTTCTTTCTACTGCGCATGCTCAGTAGATCAGATACTGTCTGCTACATCCAAAATGGAGGCCTGGGGCGGGTGTTTCATCAACTAAAATTACGATACTAAAAATCTATTTTAAGGCCGAATCAGCTTTTAGCTTAAAACCGATAATTGTGAAGTGTTTCATCGAATCGATTTTAAGCTAAATGAGATTTGTAGGGCTCTACATACAATCAATGCTAGTCAATTTGGGGGTAATACGATCACAAAATAAATGGCATCACTGAACGTCTGTCTACAAAAAGGGCAAGACTGCCAAGAGAGGTTTGAAAGGTAAGTAAATTACGTTTTTCTTTGAAAATATTAATTCTGTTGATAAAAAAATATGTTATCTTGGAAGAAGAAAAATGTCCCTCTCATTTTTTATGGAAGTACATTTTGTTTAACCGAACGATATTTTAGATAAAAATCAATTCACACACTCCTCAACTGGGCTAAAGTTGGACGAATTGCACCGGTTCATTCATTTCAGTCCCATCCATATAAATTCATGTAGATCTAGATCTAGGTCCAACTTATTTTTTTTTAGCCGATGTTTACTATTCGGTTAGGACAGGTACAAATTCATTAATTTAGTTTATTTTTGCAGTTGATAACAATATAGGTCCACCACGGCCGTAGGAATTACCACGTTGCACGGGTCTTGTGCTTGTTGTAGATTTGGAATTGGGCTTGGAATAGATGATCTTGTTATCATCACCTCTGTCTAGACTACTTCAATTTCTGGCATTTTGCCGGGTATGCAGTATGTCGTTGTAATAGTGGTATCCCTTCCTTTTACCTTGGCCCTTGTCTTGTTTAAATCTGACCTAGATAGTAGAGGTAGATTCAGAGTCTAGTCTACATAATTGATAGATCTAGGGTAGATGTAGACCTACTCAGTAGTCTCTAGCCTACTGCAGCTCTATTCTGCAGGACTAGTCATAGATGTGGACCTAGAATTTAGGTCTAGACTACAGTATTTTGTAAGATCTAAATTAAGGAGTTAGGTCTTGTCGGTACCTAGTCCGAATTTTCCGTCTCTTTCGTTCGTTAGCCTCTTATTGGGGTAGGCTAACGAACGAAAGAGACGGAAAATTTGGTCTAGTCGGTACCTAGACCGAAAATTTCTGTCTCTTTTGTTTGTTAGCCTTTTTTAATATGGGTAGGGTCGGCTCCCAAATAACAGGCTAACGAACGAAAGAAATTTTCGGTCTAGTCTGTACCTAACAGTAACAAGTTGGATTCTAGACTAGATGTATAATTTGTATCAGTAGTAGCCGTAGCAGTGGCGGATCTAGGGGGGGGGGGGCCGGCCCCCCACCCTGGAAAAAAAATGTGCAAAAACATGTAAATTTTACCTTTTGGGGGAGATGGCCCCCCCCCCCTCCCTGGCGCTCAAGGGGGGGGGGGGGTGGTGCAAATTTTCAAGGGCCCCCCAAAAAAATGTGCTTCCCCCCCCCCCCCCCTGGATCCGTGCTTGAGCCATAGGCACGTGTATTAAAACTATTGAGCTCTATTATTATATTTTCTTAATTTCATTTATCTTTTGACAGAGTCGGACTGAAAGATGGAGTGGACCTCCAGTCCTATCTACCGAATAGACCTTTAGTAGAAGACTCGAAAGTTCTTTCCTGCCATGTCTCTACACTACAGTCTTGGACTTCTCATCCTACCTTAGCCTCAAGGAAAGGTTTTGGATAATTATGCAGAATGTACTCAAGCTCAATGTCTGGGCGTAAAGCTATAGATCAAGTTGAAAAGGTAAGCATTATTAATTTCCATAATTTATCCCATCAGTAATTTCCATAACTTATCTTATCAGTATGTTCTGTGCCTGCCATTGTTGTCATACCCGTACAGCAGTTATTACAAATAAAAACATAAGTCAGTGCATTTTTCATAATTCTTGTAAGAAGTCTAATATCCATCTCACCTAGTCTGTTGTATAAAACGTACAAAAATGGTTATGAAATAATTCATTTCTTCAAAAGTAAACAAATTAATTATTTATCTTTTGTAACTAAAATTGCTTTTGTCTCAAATCTTTTGAAGAATACTTTTTATTCTTCTACTTTATTTATTTTGCAATCAAAGTATTTGAAAACATCATAAATACGAAAATTTTAGATAGATTAAAAAATTACACTTGTAATTATTAATTGATTCATTTATTACATAACTTTAAATTCTGATTCTAGACTGCAGACCCTGAATTACCTGCAACGTGATGCTTCATATGGAACATCAACCGGCCAACAGATAGAAGCTCCCTTTTCCAGCTTTAGGAAAGAGGGACCACAATCACGAGATACAGATCTTGGTATCATGGACTGGTTGCTTTCTTTTACAAACACCACTTCTTTTAATATAAGATTCCTCTGAAGCTAATGAAAATGCTCTAGTTAAGGTTCTAAAATGTTGCCATCGAGTATTAGATATTTGGTTTGATAAAATGTTTACATAAAATATTGTAAAGGAAGTAAAATTGTCAATGATATTTCCAAGATTTCCTGTATTTTAAACAGAATCTTAGAATCTTGCAGAAAAAAGAAAAGAACTAGTTACAGTTAGAGGATCAAACCAAAGTCATAATCCATAGCTCTGTAATTTAGGCCTGCCCTTTCTAGAAATTTCATTTTAAATCTTACAAATTATGATTCTGTCATGGAGGTTAATACCAAACTCACATTACATAGATAATTCTGTTCATGGTAATAATTCTTAAAATATCAAATTGGAAATTTCAAAGATAATTTGAGCAGTAAACCAATTTGATGACCTATATGGAACTCTTCCTGGAGGCACTTCTTGCATGACTATGTATCGATAATTACATGTTGATGCTTAAAGTGCTATGTAGCAATTACACAATAACAATTACAAAAGAAACAACATAACATTCTGATTGCAGTGAAAACAGATTTTTTTTTCCTGCAGGAAATATATGAACTTTGACTTATGTTGTCCTTAAATACTTTTTTGTCAAAGCTGATAGAAGAGAATTGATGGTTAATTTCATACAGACAAATTATTGTATTAAAAAAAAATCACATTCTCACTGACAGCATGACCTTACATGACAATGTATATCACCTTTTAGATTAACAACCATCTGAGTAACAGCAATCCTTGTGCCAAGTATTACTCTTTTAATCTCCATAAAAGTACCTCGAAAAGACAGTGGCAGATATCAAGCTGCAAAAGTTTTAACAAATGGTTGATAATTTAATAGAAGTACTTTCATTTGTGTAATTTCAAGTATTGTTATTGTATCCCTTGAAGGTATTTGCTATGCTCATCATTTACAAAATGTAGATTTCATTCATTAAACCATAATCATATTGATTAGACATTAAAATTTGTGTTAAATATATTTTGTATGTACAGTATAGTTTGTCTTTTAACAAGAATAAAGAATTTAATTGAAGAAAAAAAAAGATTAATGGGGGGGGGGGGATCAAAACAAATGAATGGATGAGATTGTAAGCTAGCTCATGGTAGTAATTATAAAATGATGATAAAGGGCAATGATGTGATTCAACGATGGTGTTTGTTTGATGGCGAGTATTTTTATTGTTTTTTTTAATTTTTTTACTTTATTTATTTTTCGTGGGGGAAGGGGGGGGCGGGCATTCATGAAGGAATAAAATCACTTTGAAGGGGGCGGCAAGCAAAGTGTTGTGATGAGAGAGAGTATATGAATGGAATAATGGCACATAAATGTAAGCACATAAGGTAAGAAAAATATAGAACAGGGGGCACATAACAAATTTCTAAAAAGGGGCACTCTTAATAACAAGAGAAACTTAAAAACAAAGTTAAAACAGGACAAATCACATAAAGGGAAAGTGCATTTGTAATAAATAAAAGGGAACTTAAGGAAAAAGCAGGCCACACATGTATACTTGGAAGAAAAAAAATTGGCCATTTTGCCTACCCTATTTTTTCTCTCCTCATATTTTTATTTTGGTTCTAAGACAATCTCCCCCCCCCCCCAAAAAAAAAAAAAAGAATCAACAACAACAACAAAACATTTTTTTTTTTTTAAAGGGTGGGGGTAATATTCCATGTTTGCTTCCACGGAGGTAATTTTCCGTGGGGGGGGGGGGGGTTTCAGGGGGCTATTTTTTTCGAGGGGGGGGGGGGTCGACGATTATCCCAATACTTTTTCTTCCTTCCTCTCACTCTCTCTAAATTTAAAACGTTACGAGTACACACTCCTTTTCCTCAACCTCTGCTTTCCTGTGTGTACATTTGTATGTCAATTTCTCGTTATTGTATCCCACCCCCTTCTCTCTCTCATTCACTCCTTTATTTTGTTTCTCTCACGCTCATTCTCTGTCTTCTTTTACATCAAACAGGATTGTCAAAATATCCATTCTTTCTCAAGTTTTTTATCAGCATACTAAATATAATGAGACAGTCAATAAACATTACATGCATCAGCTCTTTGATATTTGCAAAAGATCTCTATTCAATTCAAATTTCTGTCACTTTGCTATATAGATATAAAACAATATATATTTTTCTCATTCACAGTAAAATAAATCAAATGGTATTACAATGGGATCAGTCATATTGAATGATTTTTAAAACTGCCACCCTATTTATGCACTTTGATTACAAGGCTCATATCAATCAGTGGCAGATCCATGAGAAGCATGGGCCTGACACCCCCTCCCGTTTTTGTTTTGATTCATGTCATGTAAAACTTGGGTGTAATTAGAGTCAGTTGAAATAGACAAGTAAAGTACATCATGCACAAATAAGGATTAGACTTTATCATTTATTTTACTTTTACAAACGCCGATTTCCAGACATCAGTTAAACGTAAAGGAAACAATGATCTATGAAAACTAAATGAACTTCCTGAATAGCATTACAAGGGTCAAGTTTTCTGAATGAAATTTTACTTGAAGTGTATAATTAAGCGATTTGTTAAAGGGAAAGTCCACCCCCAAAATAAGTTTGTTTCGATAGAGGCAGAATAATAAGAAAATCAGGTGAGTGAAAGTTTGAGCAAATTCTGAATGAAAATAAGAAAGTTATGAATTATTGAAGTTGTGATCAATCAAATACAAATTGGCAACTCTGTGACTTATTATACGAGCTCTCCTTCATTTGCTTTGTGCATAATATTCCATAAAATCATGTTTTCTTCGTTATTGATGACGGAATATATATTTGTTCCTTGCAGGGGGAGTATAGAAACATATTTGCAATTATTATATTTAGGGTGCATGTATGGTTGAAATTTTTCTTGAGGGAAAATGAAAATTTTAGATTTTTTTAGTACTGAGCAAATGGAAGTTGAGCTCGCATGATACGTCATAGAGTTGCCAATTTGTGTTTGATTGATCACAACTTCAAAAATCCTAACTTCCTTATTTTTAATCGAAATTTGCTCAAACTTTCACTGACTTGTTTCTCTCATTTTTCTACTCCTATTAAAACTAACTTAATTTCAGGGTGGACTTTCCCTTTAAGGTACGGCAGTTTAATAATAAATTGTTTACATTCCCACACCCAAAAAGAGGGGGAGAGGAAAAGAGGTGCAGTAAAATGACAAATGACATTCTGTCAGTTCATCAGTAGCACATTAAGGCTTAAAGGTATTTTTATTTCTGAAAACATCCAGAATCTCTTGGAATTCATGAGAAAACCATCCAGTTTCTTCTCCACGTTCTTCACCTATAAGGGCTGTCATTAACTTGCCAATGGGCAGGAGATGCATCTGATTTCTATCTTCACCTTCTTTCTTGGAATCCATGTAACTAAAAGGAAGAACAAATTTATTTAATTAACTTCCTTTTTTCCTCCATCAATATTACCTGAAGTCTAAGACCTTGCTGAAAGATATCACTTTGAAAAATTATTTGTTGAATTGCTCCATTATTACACCTCACATTATACCCGATGAAGAGGCATAAATAATTATATAACAGTACCTTAAGCATAAATTGCTGTCATTTAATTTTCTGTGACAGCCACAGGGATGTATTGCTGAACAAGTGAGCAAGAAAGAGAAACAATAACATAAAGAGAGGGAGAAAGCTATAGATTGAGCAAGGCAACGGGACAGTAACATCAATGCAATGAATTAAAAACATTTATGGGACATTTTGTCAGAAAAGTAACTGAACCATAATATTGAGATATAAAAACAAGCATAAGCAAGAATAATGATTAAAAAGTTGATAGTGAAAGCAAACTAAATCTTACCTTTCAATGTACAGTGCCATCTGCACCCTGCCACCCTCCCATAGCAATGTCAGCAGCATCATTCAGCACATACACATCTTTTGGTCAGACATATTCTCCACCTTCTGTGGAAGTCAAAACAAGGAACAAGAATGTAATGAAGTTAGTAATGGCTGAATATCATTCTGGCATAATTGAATAACAAATACTTTTATTATACCGGTAGTCTTTTTTCATTTCAATGTTCCTTTGTACATTATTTTATTATCATCATTCTCTTATCATTATTGTTGATTGATTTTCTTTTTTAATAATTAAAAATGTATATTTTTTTAAGTCAAGTTCAGGCTGCTGTTCAATTTTCAATGACCTGTACGAACCCTATAAAAACAGTGTACATTTATACACAAATTTAGTTTAAGAAAACAAAACAAAACCCACCAACGGCATAGAAACAAAGAGCCGTCAAAACCTGGAGATAAAAGAAAAAAACAATTTAATCCAACCTCTCTCACTCTCTGGATGCAGGGAAGGTGATGGAGATAGGCCATGTTTCTTTCTTGTTCAGCAGTTGTTTACTGTCTGTGGAACAATAATGAAATGAAATTGTTAGGAGTCTGAATTACTAAAGGCAACATCTATATTTAAAAAAATGCATTTATTTCATACATTACCATTGAAGTAAAACTAAAACACAAGCAAATTAACTAACCAAAGTCTATAGATCTAGATCGTATAGATTCTAGACTCTACTCTCTAGATCTAGACTAGACTAGATCTAGTCTAGAATCTACTGTTCAAGAAAAACAAAATCGCAACCTTGCCAGACGACTCACCCTGCCGCCTAACTCCAGGGAGCTCTGCATAGGAAAAACAATTCAATTACGGTAGCCCTAACTAGGTCACTAGATAAAGCCGGTATTTTGGGAGTTCTTAGACTTAAGACTAGTCTAGAGCGGGGTACTAGATCTACTACTATTGCCTTATTGGCTTCCAGTAAGTTCCACCCCCCCCCCCCCTCCCACCACTCCTGATAATTTGAAGTCAACATTTCTTTCCATACCATGCAGCACTGATTAAGCAATGATTATTACTAGGAAGTAGATCTAGACTAGATCTAGTCTAGACCTATGTGAGTAGAGACTAGAATAGAGTCTAGATCTAGAATAGATTCTACACATGACTAGAGTCTAGACTATTCCAATTTCCAGGTCTTCATTTCTAGATCTACTAGTCTGGGGCCTACTAGACTAGGCCTACTCCATTATTCATAGATCACTCGGTATTCCCAGATTTTAACTCTCATATTCTATGAATCACTTTCGCGTTGATCAAATGCTAGATCTAGTCTGGTAGACTAGACCCCGGGCCCTAGACTAGATCTACGGCTACGCGAACTTGATTCATAGAATAGATCTACGAGAGTTAAAATCCGGGAATCGTGAGTGATCTCCGAATAAAGGAGGAAGAAGAAACAAGTGGGAGGTCGAGGACTAGATTACTAGGTCTAGATCTATCTAGACCTAGGTCTACTATCTAGTCACTAGGCCCCCGCCTGAGTGGGCGCACACCAGCAAATGAAAGCATAGGGTCCTGCTGTCCCACGGCCACCGGCACCAGTCGTAAGTTGTAGCGGGAAACTCCCGCCACCACACCAAACGTGTAAAATGAACCAGCGTAGGCCTACTCGTATCATATGGGGGGGGGGGGGGGTAGTGAGCACTTTGATTTTTCTTACTCAACACCCCCCCCCCCCCCTTCCCTGTTTTAAATTTTGTTAAGCTCCCAAAAAATTGCATGAATGATCTCCCTCGAAGCAGTTCCCCAAAGTTGACAGCCCTGTCAAATGCACACAATCATGCCGATGCGACCGGCTGTAACTTGTAAGTAGATTTTATAAGTTTGACAGTGGTCTAGACCTAGATCTAGGCTAGATCATGAGATCTAGACCCTAGTCGTACTCGTAGACTCACGATTTTAATTTTTCTATTCTTTCTAACATTTGTTGGTGAGTTGAAAAACTTGTATTTTACTGCTATTTAGGTGCATTCAATTGTCACTAAAGTACCAATTTTGAGTGAAATCAGTTTAGTTTTGTACAGTTGTGTTTGAAATGTTGAGAATCAATAATAAAACAGGTTTTAATTATACGCAGCCAGCGCCAGGATAGTAATGCAGCGCAGGCAGCTATGTCATGTGTCGGGCGCGGCGCTGCACTGGGCCGGCCGAAAATAACGGCTCAGCCAACACAAAAATGAACAAATGGGACTGTATAAAAACAACTCTTGCGATAAAACCCAAGTGGAAAACAACAGTGGCAGGTCTGATTACGAGTGGAATTTATATATTCATCAAATGAACGAGAAATAAATTGAACAAACACATTTGATAACTAGTAAATGAATGTTACCGACGGAAATACATCGATTTACTTACGATTCGTGTTTTCAATTCTGCCGCACACGATATGATTGACATAAAATTTCAATAATGTCGTCTGTGATTTTTGTTCAACAATTTCAGCGCCAATTTCAAGAAGAGCAGACGAGGTGGTGTTTGCGCACGCGCGGGGGATTGTACCACTGATTGTACCACACCTAAGGGTAGTACAAAATCTAGACCAAATTATGACGTAGTTAAAACCCCCGGGGGTTTAAACTTGCTTTGTGAATACCAAAATCAGAGGTTTAAACCTCCGAGGGGGGTTTTGTACCACACCCATGGTACAATCCCTCTTTGTACCACTGTTGTGAATTCGGGCCAATTTGTGTTTACTTTGTTGTTACAAAGTATCTAAAAGTTATCTCTCACTGCAATCATGTTTTTGGTGAACGAAGAGAAAATATCTATTACATCTTTATTGTCTAATCTCATTATATATATATGAATTTTTCTTGACATTCCAAGTATCTCAATAATAGGCTTTCTACGATGCATTTTTTAGGAGTACCTCAAGGGAGAGGACATGATGGGATAACAAAAAATGAAGAAGTTATATTTTGTACACGACAAACGGGACAGTTGTCCTTAACTACGTCACAATCCACTGGCAAAAGTGCCGACTTGGGAAACGCATATATCATATTTCAAACTGTCATAACTCTGTTATTATGGGTTAGATTTATTTCAAACTTTCGTCATTCAGATTGGCTTATTTTTCTACTTTCATATACAACTGAGGATTGGATTGCCCCCACCCCCCCCCCCCCCCATCCCTTGCCCATATTGGATGGATGACGTAATAAATACAGTTTATCCAGAGTGTGATGGGGGGGGGGGGGGAGGCATTTCCAGTCTGTAGATACTATCTGCGCATGAGTAGAAAAATGTTATTAGTACCAAACGCGTAGAGATGGCAACTGATATGTGGTCATACAAGTTATGTAATCATTATTAATAGAGGTCAGGAGTGGTTCTAGAAGAATACATATATTGGGATGGGGCGGGGGTGGGGGCTTGAAGAAACTGATTATTCGGAAGTGCACAAAGGGTGACTTCTTAATGTTTAAATGATCTTTTGAAAGGATCAAAACCATCTATACACAGAGTTTGGCCAACTTGGTAGGTCACGACATGGCTTATATTATTTTGTTTTGTGCTAGCCCAACAAAATAATATTCTTAATATTCGGCCCGACTCGATCCGGTTGGCCAAACGGTCCTATAATCAACGGCACTAAAAAGGGATTATTGTCGAGCGCCCTCTTACTATGTTCCTCGCTTTCGAAAGATTGGGCTAAGATTAGGTTTTCAAAAAGAAAAGACATGTGACCAGGCACTACACAACCACGAAAATGACACATTGTGAGATTTTAAGCTAGAACTCATTAAAGATATGTGTTGTTAGCGTGGTCAAGTTTCAGTTTTTAGCTCTTCCTGAAGAATTATACTTTCTTCAATATTATTTAAACATTTTGAAGCTGCATACACCTACAAATGGTACTCTTACAGTGTTCTGTAGGCTATGTTTGTTTGATCTTGGATTTGTTATACTATTTTTTTTTCTTCTTTATGACCCTGTCAAAGAGAGAGAAAAAAAGAGGGAGAGAGAGGGAGAGGGGGAGAGAGAGAGTGAGAGAGAGGGGAGAGAGAGAGCGGGTACGGAAGGAGAGAGGGTAGGGAAGAGAAAGAGAGGGAGAGAACGATATAGATAGAGAGGGGGAGAGGAAAGAGAGAAAGTGAGAGAGAGAGAGAGAGAGTGGGGGGGGGGAGAGGTTAGAGACTAGAAAGAGTGAGAGAGTGACGGGAAGGGTATAGAGCAGAGACACAGGGGGGGGGGGGGTAGTGAGCAATTGTTTTATTATTTTTTTTGTCTCCGAAACCGAAAATTAAAGAAAAAAATTAACCATCCCCCCCCCCCCTTGGGCGCCAGGGGAGGGGGCCCATCTTCTTCTTCTTCTTCTTCTTCTTCTTTTTTTTTTTTACATAAAAGGGTGTTTTCATCTGTTTTTTCTATTGGAGGGGGCCCCCGCCCCCTTCCCCCCTACCCCCCCCCCCCTTGATCCGCCACTGCACTCCCCCCTCCCCCCTCAGATCATGTTCGCGGCATTGGAAACAAACACAAAATCAGCAAATTGTAAGTCGACTACACTTCATCGATATGGGATAGGCCTATACAAATTCCAACATTACTATATGCATCATAAACTCAGCATAATATTTGAATGTATGGATCATAATTATATTCGCCCCAACTCCGGCCGTGGATGGGGTTATATAAGGTTAGGATATACTGTGGAGGTTCTCTATATAATATATACAGTGGCGTATAGTCAGCCCATTTAGTGGGCAGTTGAATGATGGGAGGGGGGGGGGGGGTCCTGCAGGTCTTACTCGGAAAATGAAATGATATTTAAAAGGCTGCTGATTAAGTTGGTTAGATAGAATATAGCTATAGTGGGTCACATGGCGGGCGGGGGGTTTGGCGTCCCTCTCAATTTGCAGTCCTTATTAACAAACAAAGAAAAACAAAAGAAGATGACATTTGCCCGAGTATAATTAACGTGTTTTTCAAAAATCCTTCTAAAAATGTACGCTTGTTTCATTACATTAACTTTCACTTCATTTTGTAACCCCCCCCCCCCCCTCTTTGTACCACCCCGATAACAATGTATAAAGATGAAATGGACGGTGGTAGTATGAAGGTAATCTAGAGGCTGAGTGGTCAACAGAGCTCTTCTGGTTGGTTGCAAGCTACCGTACCTTACATCAGAGCTGCCACGGTACGAACGTGTTACAAGTGTCCGACCTTTCTTAGAAAGTTACTTCAATAATACTATTCATCCAGTAATGTGAACATCAATAACCCTTTTATAAATCAACTACCGAAAGTAATTTATATATTATATTTCTGCAATGATTCGTCAGTTTTTTCAAAATAAATAAAATCATAATTGCTGGCATAAGATTTTGACTATTCTCATCTGAAAAATCTTCTTCAATGAAATAGCATGTTAATAAATGTTTTAAACGTAATGCAGCGTG